AATGGGAATTGTCTATTCTCGACGGCAATGGCAATTGAAGATTTTTGTGGGCACTACCTTCTTAATCGATTGATTCTTCTAAAAATTCTGCTGCTATGTTTACGAACAGCTGGGTGCATGGGTATTTATTAAAAGAGAAATATAATTTTGAGTTGCTTATTAGTTGTGTTTTTGAATCCATTCATTACGCACAAACACTCTTAGAACAGTGACGGTGCGCACAGGTGGTAAAATATCAACCAAGTATCGAGAGAAAAATGTTGTTAAGGGTGTCGAGAATTTCGCCTCCGTTTAATGGTACTCAGTCCACGACAACGTCACAACAGTTTAGTAGATTTTATTAATTAACATCAAAAAACTATACAAAGCACTTGTGCTATATATCACATCGGCTCTAACTATCTATGCACACTCATTACGAATTTTCCATTACTTGCCACGTCACACTAATCATTACTAATATGTCTGTTGTTAAATAGTCCCAGTCTATGGCAAAGGACAAATAATTGCCGCCGAACTCTAAAATATCGACGGCAAATCCAGGTACTCGATGGATAGTTTCAATACTTCTCGCTTTATTTCAACAACAGGGAAAACAAATCAATTTTACCGACTGTCCTACAAGGCATACGCTGTTCCTCAAAGTTCTTTGTTAGACTACATGTTTAACTTATGTATCTGATTATACTGGCGAGCTTCGCCTTACTAAATATTAGCTAAATGTAAAAACAGAAATTTGGCGGTCATTGACGTTCATTACACTTAAAGCCATACAAATAAATATGTTACGGATATGTTGCAATTCAAGTTACGGGTCTGGATTGAGTTTTTTCTTGACATCACTCAAAAACTCCTCCTTATTTGTCCACTTATCTGAGATCACGACCAACTTCACCATCGTTCGAAAGAAGGAAATATAAGGGTCGTAATTCCTGAGCTTCTCTGCTCCATCTGCCAGCTTTGCTGTCTCTCCTACCATGCCAGAAGGCAGGATGACAACGACCATTGCCCATTCAACACCATCTACGAATTTGGAGGCACTATGTGTGACAGATTGCAGTAGAGTCACTTTCCTCGTTTTGTCTCGACTTTCATCAAATGTCCAAACAGGAACATGACGGTTGGTTAAGCGATCCATCAGTGACTGCTCCAGCTGACGTGACTCATCCATCCGAATAGCGAAATCCACAATGAGGATATCTGCAGGGTCTAGAGTAATGTTATCTCTATTAAGTATATCCCAGCGGATGACATCAGTTATGGCTCTGTAAACAATATCCACACATTTGTCGTACATCTCGCTCACGTTTTCTTCAACAGCCCATGTCACAGGTAACCCTTCGTAAGAGTGGCCAAGGATCCGTTCAGTTCCATAAGGGTAAGATCGATCTGCATACACCTTACTGTAATCTCTTTCAAGCTCTATGATACTGTTCGTGGCTCTCGTGACTTGAGTGACATGGCGAACCTCTCCACCATTTTCATGCAGAGCTGTTAAAAGTGGCTGAGTATTAGCTTTCACTTTCTTCGCTTCTGGTTGGTAGTTGAACACAGAGCTAATCCATACATAACCTGGTAATCCACGAACAATCTCTAGTATTATCTTGTTCTCAGTCGTTCTGGACCCAATCCAGTACTCATCGATAAAGGCATGTTCATACTCGCCATTTTGAATTTTTTTCCTGATCTCTGATGTCGTATGTTCTGTGTCTTCAGATGGTTCGTCCTTGATTACAATAGAGATAACCTCAACGAGATGGGACTTTTTGAAAAACTCTTTAATTTGGTAAAATAATAGGGAATTTCCCTCGGGATAATCAGGAGATCCATTGGCAAGAATGTACATAATCTTCTTCTCACTCTTGCATATTTTCATATTAATATTCAGTTCGAGGGCCTTGAACTTCATTAATTCTGTTTTACCACTTCCGGGCGGGCCAATTATCAACTGTTTGCTGGGTCCTTCGAACACAACCAGTTGCTCTGAGGTCATAACTATTGGATGGCAACCATGTTTGAGTCGCATTCGACATGTTAGTGATTCCATGACTTGTTTGTCAACTTTACTCGGTTCGTCTCCATCTATGAAAAATGATTCTGCGAGGTGTCGGTCAAGCATGTTCAAATCCTTAGGAGATTCTAGCTTTAGGTATGGATACTTCTTCAGTATTTCTTCTTCGTTGGTATCCTCCTCTTCGATCTCTAACGACACTTTTCGCATCCTGTTAATGTAATCTAGAGTATTCTTGTAGAAGAGGTAGTGAGAGTCTTCAAATACAGCAAATATTGCATCGTCTATCAGCGAATATTCATCTCCTTCAATATACTTGCTGTTTTCCAACAATTTGTTAAGAAGCTTTTTTCCTTTTTTGTTTGGAAGATCTTTTTTACCCAGTTTGTTCTTCTCCATAAAAGATTGCTGCCGTAACTTTTCTTCTTTCTTTTTGTCTTCTGCTTTCTTCTTCAAATCAGGATCTTTTTCTTCTTCCTCATCCAAAACGGGATATTTTCTATATTTTTCACTGAGGACATTCCAGCACCATTTCCAAAGATGAGGGAACATATTCTCCGTAAGTTGGGGGTAGGCTGCATTACCATGATACTTGTACTTGTCCAGCGATTGGTGGATTTCTCTTATATATTCGACATCTGTAACAGGGTTCATATGCCGGATCATCAAAATATGTGACAACGCTCGCTCGTAAGCTTCTTGGGTTTCCGCTGACATTTTAATCATGGCTGGGCTTTCGATTGCTTCATGCCACCATTTCCGAAATGAAGACTTGTCTTGAGAGTCGTCTTGAAATAGGAGAACTATGTCATCTTTCAGGCTTGAGAAATCGGCGCGATTAAAATCAGCTTTCTTGATGAATGGTAAAGCAAGAACCTCTTTGTATGGAACAGAGAAATCATCTTTCTCAGTGGTCTCAGAAGATAATTTTGGAGCATAATCTTGAGTATGAGTGGCAGAATTCGTATTACTCTTTGGATTGGCCAATTTCGTGATAATGTTATGACTAAACTTAAGCTGTTTCACTATTTTTTCCATGTTTGCCTTGTTAAATTTGCCCGAGTAATGTTTCACTTGAAGCGATATTATACCAAGCTGGTGGTGGAAAATGATGAAATCGAACTCCCCTGTCTTCGATGCTATTTCAGGTACCAGGTATTCTTTGTTTTTGCATTTCTTGTTCCATTTTCTTATGTCGTTTAACGCAAAATTATGAAAAACAAACATACCCATTCTTTGGACGTTTCCAAGCTTCTCCAAGAGATTGTAGATGATACTTTCACCGTTATCCCCTCTCTCAGTATAGACCACAGGCTGCGTGATACCAATCTGGTGACGGCTTCGTGTTGCTTGAAAGAGCGGGGGAATCATGTAGGTTTTATTGTTGTTTTTCCAGTTGGGAAATCGTTTGTGTAGAAACACTTGAGCAATGTCCTTAGCTTGAGCCATCTATACAATGACAGTATTATGATATTATACTTGTCACTACTGAATATTAGCTATATTGTCATGGTATAAACACTTATTGGTACAGTTGAAAATATGTACTTAATTGTCCTAGTTATTACATTTATGTATACATATATAAGTTTTAAATATAAGCCACCTGAAATAAAACACTCTCAATATGTAAGCCCGCCAATTTACAATTTACTAATTTCCAGGCCATTTCAGAAAAAGAACCCCTTGATATCTGCCCATGGGCTATTAAATGCATGGAGAGGCGTAAACAGGGAATTTGGCATGTTTGCAACTGTTTTGAATACAGAGGGTGCAATGAACAAAAGTACAATGTTTGAAAAGCAAGAAGATGTTAAAAAAAGACATGTTCAATAATTAAGAACGTAAACGCTATAGTTGATTTAGAGAGGCAAAGCACTGTTTGATACTGCCAGACACCATGTGGACAGGTATAAGAGAGTGCTACGATTAAAACACGCCCGCTACCTGTGCAGCTGTATGCATATTTTGACAGATATGGGTTAAAATATATTATGAAATCAAAGGACACTTCACATTTCATGTGCATAAACATAAAGCAAAGGTGCATGTTATCTACCTATTCGAAAGTTTAGGACCGGTATACTTTTTTGAGGAATTTCCTTCAGGAGAAACAGTAGGCTAAAGCGCTGTTACTATTTGTAAGATTATAATTTGCCTCAAAAGAGCTTGTCCTACTCCTTCAAGTTTGGAGCAATGTAATTATTTAACACTTTTGTAGACAAACGCTGAGGGAGGGGGGGGGGGGGGGGTTAAAAATT